TGTGCTTGTGGTGGTGCTGCTTGTGGTTGTAGTGGTGGTGGTGCTGGTGGTGCTGGTGGTGGTGCTGTCCATTAGCTCTGCACTTTGCTGAGTCTGAGTGGTGGTCAGCAGGGGATCGGGCAACAGCGGTGGCAGTGGATCCTCCTCTGCCGGCTCGGTTTCCGTTTCATCGACATAATCGGCGTAGGATTCATCGTCTGGCTTTTCATGCGGCATCGGGGCACATTTGGGCCAGCAGACCGGACAACAGGTGTCCTTCAGCTTGACCTGCCGTTCGCTGGGACAGTTGAGGGCAGTGCACAGAGACATTGTGCACTTGGGCTCGCCCTTCACGCACTCACACGTCTGGCAGTTGTCCGTCCAGGTTTCGCCGTCCTTGTAGAACATGCCCGGTATTTTCGACTGGCACACCCCCTCGGCCCGCTCGTCGCAGCTCTGGTGGCAAATCTTCAGTCCGGAGTCGCACTTGCAACGCTGGCACTGCTTCAGCCAGTGGTAGTCCGTGTCCCGTGCCACCGTGCAATTGGGCTCCGTCCGGCAGTCGTAGGTGCCGCAACATTGCCCGGGGGTTTTACCATTCTCCGGCAGCAGTTCCACCGTCACCTCGTCCGTTTCCACATCGCAGTCCGGAATGTAGCATGTCTTGCACACACACTTCCGGTTCAGACAGCAATGGACGTAATCCTCCTCCGATATCAGACTTCGGTCGTAGGACACAGCATCGCCGGAGGATATATCGCCCGGGGCGGGCAGCTCCACGGCATTCGATTTAATCAGGTCCACTGCAACCAGGTTCTGGCGTACGGCACTATCCGCCGGGCATTGCATTTCGGCGTCCGGAGGGCATTTAATCGCATCGCACAAGTCCGGCAAAGGCTCCTGGTCAACTGTAACGAAATTATGGTGGGGAAATGGCAGCCGTTAGTGGTGGTCAATAAAACATGAAGGTCTCAGTTGCAGCTTAGGTGTTCTTAAGTGTAGGTGGGCGATGGGAGGTCTTAATGGAGGTCACCTCAAGCAGTGCTATCTTATTTATGGCAAAGTGCGGGTTTTAAGTTCGCCGAATAGAAAATAATAATAATGGTGCGAAGGTAAGCAGCTTTTTTTAGTTTAAAAAGAAAAAAGCTGTAAGCTTTCTACAAAGGCGGTATCCTTTGACATTAAATAAACGTGCAAGAAAAAAGAAAATAAATCAAGCGTAGTAAGAAAATAAGCTTTTCAAAGGTTTAACTGTACAAAATTTAATAGTTATTGATAGTAAAGTTTTATTCGTTTTTTTATGTCAAAAGATAGAAAAAGGTCAAAAGATAGAAAAAATTAAGAACTTTTATCTGTTAAACTAAACTAAAGTTTATAAGTCAAATAAAAAATTAGTTTCATAGAGTAGTTCAACTATTAAACACTCAGTTCTATAGAACATGATAAACTTGGCTGAACAAATTGGTGAACTTAAAAACATTTTCCAAGTAAAAATGCTCTGTACATAAATACTTTTGAAAGGGAAAATGGACCAGTACTCTTAAAACACTAATAAAAAAATAATATTTTTTCTCTAACCAACACCCCTTTCTACATAGCTTTCTTTTTTTACTTTAAGTTAAAACGGAACTTTTTATTTAAACAGAAATCTACACTGAATTTATTGTCCTCTCATCTCGCAGCATATTTTTCACAAGTTTGCCCCTAGCTTTGCTTTAATTACAGCCCTTTTATATTTTCCAGGGTCAACCAAGTACAAGTGAATGCATTAAGGTCAACTTATCGGATCGAATGTCTGTTGCTTATCTAGGTAAGTGATTCATTAACCTGGAACAGGGGACAGTGGGACCCTGCCGAGTGGAGAAGTAATGGAATAAAGTTAAACCAATTAAAGTTTTGTCCACTTGCTATTGATTGTTTGCCTTCCATTAATTTTATATTCTATACCTGAGACTAAATTCACTGCGACATTTTTCTCTTATTATTTTATTTTTTCCTTTGGCGCGTGTTCCTTTTTATGGAGCTCTTCTTTTTTCCTTCGAAACGTAAACGCTCATTGTTCAAGTTAATTTGTCATTTTCACCCGCCCATATAATGGGTATTTTCTTCTCGTTCTGACCATGGCCTTTGACTTTTTGGCCCTCGGTTTCGGTCTCGGTCTCAGTCTCTCCCTTTTCCGGGTAAACAATCAAGTTCTGGCCGGGACAAAAGTAAATATCTGGCCGGAAAAATCTACTTGATTTAAGCATACGAAACACCCTAACAGCCTGTCGAATATTAAAAACTAAACTTTTTCGGTTTTTCTTGGGGCCTGCACTTTGATGTCGAGGCTGTAGAATGTTTGTGGGGATTTCGGTGGGTCGGCGGCTGCTTTGAAGGAGCTCAACAAACTTCTTACACTTTATTTAATTAAAGTTTTACTTGTTCGTTGTTTTTCGCATTTGTTCGCTGACGCTGTCGTGTTATCAGCGGGACAGCTGGGACAGTTGTCAGCCGCCCTCGTGTTCGCAGTTCGACTTTGAAGTTTGGCGGCAGGAGGTTAGATTTAAACGAGGCATGTCCAAAAAACACAAATAATTTAAATGCTGCTCAACTTGATTTCGGCACAAAAAAGTGTAAATACTCGACGATTAGGTGTTGGTTTTATGCTCTTTATTGAATTTTAAACAGCTATTTATGTTTTAATGACAATACAATGGTTAATTGTAACTAAGGCAATTGCTTTTATTTTATATGCTAAATTTTCTAGTCTCAGCCTTAACTTTTTGCCTTACATGTAATAAGAAAAGTTTAATCTTGAAATATATTTCACACTTAAAACACACAACTTTAATCTTGTCCAACTAGCTTTTTAGAAATATGTTCATCATAAAATACTCTTTCATCTTAGGAAATTTGAATTTATAAAAAAGATACATGTGAGGGAATAAAATGTATTGTCATCGAATATATACTTAAATGAATTTTTCGATGTTTCAAGCTTCTAATTAAAACATATACCCAATTTCCTGCTGTACTGTAGAGTAACCGAAAAAAATGTGAATGAATTAGCCGTCGGACGAGGACATTGCATCGTAATTTAAAGCGAGTTGCGGAGCAACTGTCGGAATAGTCGGCCACCTAACCTAGATAAAAAGCAAACCGCACACTTGCCTGCCTATTCAGATAAAGTCGGAGCCGGCTAGAGAACCAGAAGCTATAGAACCTGGATCTAGAGGGGCTACAACCTGATACAAGACCCGAGGCAGAGGACAAAAGCGCACACAGACTTGTAGATACATGGTTGGCTATTTTTTTTTTTTTACTTTGGCCCCACTTCTGTTGCCACTTTTGGCTCTTCGGTGAGAAACTTATAAACAGCCGTGGAAAGTTTTCATAAAGGATGAAAGTACAAACTCGCACACACATATAGACGCTCGAGTGTTTTGCATTTTATGTAGCATGAATGCAAAAAAAAAAGACAAGAGGGGGAAAAACTCTTTAAAAGCGAAAACTTTTTTAATAATCCAGCGACAACGTCCTGACTTTGTGGCCTCCAGATATACAGATACAAATAAGCAGATACAAGATACGACGTACGAGGTATGAGGTATGAGGTAAGAGAGCTTGGAATCTCTTCAGTCGAGTGGACCAACCAACTGTTTCTGGAATTTAAATTGTTAGTTTATCTGGGCTCGGGACTGATTGGAAATCCAGTTTAGCCCCAGCACAATCCCATTCACAGGTGAGAAACGGGATTGGAGATGCAAACACCTGAAGCCACTAGCAAATTGAGTGATTTCAGGGGCAGCAATCTCTGAGATACATTGCAAATCCGATGGAAAGTAAGCCACAGACCATAAGCTCTTAGATTTTACCTAATTTCCATCCGAGTATTTTGGCAAATGTGAATTTCCCTGTCTTGTTGCCCAATCAGGCTTCAATTCATCCATCCATCCATCCATCCATCCATCCGTCCATACATTCATTCCTCTATCCATCGGCGAACCCTTTTGTTGTGGCGCTTTTGGGCTGCTCACTGAGTGTGTTATCTGGCCAGATTATCTGGCTGAGTGAACGCCTTGGCTAAACGGAATTCAATCAGGCTAATAGCTGGCGTAACCACACTCGGAAAATATTTTTCATGAATGGGAATCGCTCATGAATGAGAACTCCTTAGCTCACAAAATGGGCAAGTCGGTTAAAATGTTCCAAAAATATCAAACAATGCACTGTGTTTCTTTCTTTTAGAAAACCAAAAAGCTGAGAAAACCAACTGGATGTAGAAATATTTCAATTTCAAAGTACGTTTAATTGTTCCATATTTTTTTTTTTGGTATTCTTGTGTATTTTAAGGGTTAATTCCCATAAGCACTTTGAAATTTAAGGAATTTATTTTCTTTTACCTTTTAGATGATAAAATTGAGGGTATTGATTTTGTAAACATTTTCATTAACTTTTGGGCTTACTTTTTTTGAGACTGATTACTTTACAAAGAACTCAACTAAACTTTCTGTTTAAAGAAAAATATAAATTGTATTTATTAAACAAAAAAGCTTGGAACAAAAGTTTATTTATTTTATCAAAAAAATTTACAAAAATTTACGTTCTCAGAAAAAAATGAAGATTTTAACCAAAGAACTTTTTTGGGATAAACAAAATAGCAAAATATCACAAAAATAAATATTTAGTATAAGAAGATAAAATATATGTATGACGAAAATGTTCAAAAGTTGTCTAAGTTTTTAAAACATAAAATAATGAAAGCAATTTGATGTTAAGGAAATGCGACAAGAACAATTTGAATTCAAATGTGAAGAATTTATTAAATTTATCAACATATAGTACTTTTTCATAGTTGTAGACAAATTTTGAGCATAAATAAGTTCTCTGATTTTGAAGAATTTATTGTATAGTTAAAAGAAATGTGGTAATAAGCTTTTAACTTTTTCAAGCAACTAAGCCGGAAGCCCTGCCCTAAAAGGCAATCCCTTTTTTAGAGTGCACTGCCATTGAGTGCTGCCTGCGGCTGTGATTCGATTATGTCATTGCCTTTGGGTGACCCACTAGCAGTTTCGCTCTCAGTCCGGTGGCATTCAAATCACAGCGATGCCGCGCTGGCTGCTTCTGCTGGGCATGTCGGCCCTGTCTCTACTGTACAGTCTGACCAGGGTGTTCGGCCTGCTGGCCACAGCCAACTGGAGTCCACGCGGAGTCGAGAGGGTCAGGCATAGCCTCTACTGGCGCATCCACGGCTGGCTGATGCTGATCTTTGTGGGCGCCTTTTCGCCCTTCGCCTTCTGGTGCATTTACCAGCATATGGCCTTTCTGCGGCAAAACATGATTCTGCTGCTGATTGGCTTCAATCGATATGCCCTGCTGCTGGGCTGTGCCGCCACCACCCTGTGGATACACTGCTCCAAGCAAGCGGAGATCATTGGGTGCCTGAATCGAATGCTCAGATGTCGCCGCCAGTTGAGGCGACTCATGCACACGCGAGAGCTGAGGGATTCGTTGGATTGTCTGGCCACCAGGGCTCACATCCTGGAAGTGGTCGTCCTGCTCAGCTCCTTCATCCTCTCGTCGGCTCAGCCCATCCAGATACTAAAAGATGAGCCGGAAGTGCGGAAGAACTTCATGTACGCCTGCTCTTTGGTTTTCGTTTACACCTGCCAACTCATCCTGCAGCTTTCCCTGGGGATATATACGCTGGCGTTGCTTTTTCTGGGTCACCTCGTTCGACACTCGAATCTGCTGCTGGCCAGAATTCTTGATGATGCCGGGAAAATTCTGGAAAACTCCCTCAGGGCCAGACTCGCGCCGAACCGCCAGCAGCTGTATAGAAATCAACAGAAATGGCTGGCCCTCGAATTATGGAGATTACTTCATGTGCACCAGCAATTGCTGAAGCTGCACCGTTCCATCAGCTCGTTGCACGCAGTTCAGGCGGTCTGTTTTGTGGGATATGTGCCCTTGGAGTGCATGATTCACCTGTTCTTCACGTACTTCATGAAATACAGCAAGTTTATATTGCGAAAATACGGCGAATCCTTCCCGCTAAACTATTACGCCATAGCCTTTATGCTGGGGCTCTTCGCCAATCTGCTTCTGGTAATTCTACCCACTTATTACTCGGAAAGGAGATTCAGCCGTACCAGGGAAGCCCTCAAAAGTGGAGGTTTGGTTTTTCCATCGGGAAACACCGTTAAGCAATTAAGACACACTGTAAGTTGGTTATATTATGTTCGTAATTCTCTAACAGACCATAAGACAACACACTTTTTGCGCCACATTTAATTTGAAATAAGCCAAAAAAAACTATTAAAAAGCATTAAATTTTTAAAGGAATTTTCAATTACCAAAATGGTTTAATGTAAAGAAAATTTATTCAGTACAAAGAGCTAATTCTAAAATTTAATTGTAAGTGAAAAAGACGCATTCACGAAGTGTGAATTATATTTTTCGGGGTGTTATATGAGTATAAAAACACTTTTTATGCTAATTATAATGATCGTAAAAAAAATAAAATTAGAATTAATAAACGTCGTTTATATTCAGCATGGACTGCTCGTAAATCGCACATCATAAAATAGTTACCCAAGCTGATTGGAATCATAATAACTTTTCGATTATAATTGGTCAAGACGTATAAAAAATCATCAAAGAAACCACCGACACTGATTAAAAATGTATGAATTTTCTAAAAACGGTGGTTTTTGATTACAATTTTTAGCCTTATTTATTCATGTCGATGGCACAGTGAATTAAGTATTTGGTAAATCCCAGCAATTATTCCAAATATATTTTCATCTTACTCGAAGAAATATCTGTCGTTTTTTAAAACACTCTCTTAAATGTTTGTTTGCTAACTTATTTCTTTATAATGCTTAATACCTTCAGTAAAATTAATATTTGTATCTACTCCTATAAGCCCATTCTCACGTTTATTAATTTATCGTTCCCTCAGATGCTCTACTACGGCCTGTATCTAAAGAATGTGGAGTATATATTTACTGTCAGCGCCTGTGGACTTTTTAAGCTGAACAATGTGTTGCTTTTCTGCATTGTGGAGGCCATGCTGAACTACCTGATGATACTGATACAGTTTGACAAAGTCCTAAACCAATAGCTCACTAAATCCCAAGACAATGGCCATGAATAAATACAAATTAAATTGTTCCCTTGTTAAGGTTGGGTAAATATATGTGCATGTAGAACGGTCCCACACTTACGTGTCGTTGCACTGGAAACAAATATTAGTCCATATATTATTAGCATATGGTGCAGGAACCTCCTTGTCTTGTGCAAGCTTGGCATATTCGCTCTGTTTGCTTTTCAGTGGGGCGATGTGGTTGAGGGGGTGGTGGGTGGTGGGCGGTGTTCAGTGGTATTGGGCGGTGGGGTGCCGACAGCAGCTGATGACAATCGATATGACCTTGCCTGGTCGCCGGGAATTGTTTGCGAATTTCTGGCTCGCTATCAAATCATATAAATGTCTCGTTATAATTTGCGAAAATCAAAATCAATTGGCATCTTCTCGGCAAAATGAACTGCAAAGAACAAAACGCGGAAAATATATAAGTAAAATTCTATATTCAGAAATCTTTTTTAAAGTTTTTTTTAAGATAAAAGTTAAATAAGGAAATCCTTGGTACATATTATATGAAAGTTCATAGGGTTTTGATATTATCTGATATATTTTTAATCAAATACTACACTAGCAGAAGGTAAAGCATTGCATTATCAGAATAATAATGTATCAACTTAAAAGTAGCCCTTTTAGAAATACCTTTTTTTTTTTAATAACTAATTTAAACATTAAATTGATAATGAATTAAGAAAGAAAGAAATCTAAAAATAAAATAATCATACATCGCCTATCATTTAAATAAATTAATTCTCATTAAAGTAACTTTTTTCTTCGAATTAATAGTGACCTAAAACAGCATTTTACGACTTCCTAAAAAAATACAAAGTCATTGTCAGCACAGATTCATTTGAATTTAATAACAAATAACACGCACTCGTTCCAGTTTCCCAACATTTTTCTCCCTGATCTCTTCAAAATTCATTTGTTATTCTTCACATCTGATGAAATGCGAATTCTAATTTGATTGCATTCGCCAAGAAAAGCAGAGCAAAAAGGCAGTAAACACTCGAAGCGTTAATAAGAAGGTGCCTCCACACCGAAATGCCCTCTCATTCTTTCGGGTTCTCGGTTCGGTTTGGTTTGCTTTGGTTTGCCGGTTCGTCACTGCTAAAAATAGAAACCTTTTTTCGGCTCTGCGAGTAGTTTTAATGACCAAGTGCCAGTCTCTCATTTGTGGGACGGGTACAAGGGGATCGGTATCAGCGAGGGTCGGGGTCACCATTTCCCCGGCAACAGAAAAATGTTTGTGCATGTTTTCTGGCTTTGCTGAATGAACCCGGCATTGAAAAGGCACTGATAAAGGTGCACAACCTACACATTGTCGTGGGAAAGGGGGGGAAAATGGGGTGGGAAATCGGGGCGGATACTGCCGCCATGTCCCAGGCACTATAAATGACCTGTCCATGTCCACGTCCACGTCCGTGTCCGAATCGAACAAATTTTGCGTGTGTGCACTGGTCAAAATTATAAAATAACAAATTATAAATACAAAAATCTATCCTCAATTGTAGTTTAACAACGTGATCCACAATTTCATGCTTTGTAATACTTAAACGGCATTTTGAACTATTTAATATGGTTTTGTCAATAAAAATGTATAGTTATTTTAGTAATTAATTTGTCAAAAAATGTTTTCATAAAGTAATTTACCAAGAAAAGCTTGCAGCCTTTAAATTTTCTATAGTGCTCAAAAAATATCTCTTTAAAATCCTATTTTCAGTGTTCTATTGGCATTGAATGTCGGACGATGATTTGCTTTTCATATGCATTCAATCAATTCCTAAACGCATCCATCCACCCTCCTTTAAACGAGGCCGGAGATTTCTAAGATACGAACTCTGTGCTCCATTCAGCCAAGCTGCGTTTAATTTCTGGGGGGAAAGCGAATTTCCTTTCATCAAAATTTCAAATTCAAACGGATGATGAAACAGCAGCTTGTCATTGGACTATGCAAATGAGAGCTTTCGGACTTTATCATATCTGCTGCACAATTTGCATTACTCAGACCAGGTAGACGAAATTCGGTGAAAAACGCTTTAATTGCGGCGTGTTGTTTTTCATTTAGCCGACAAACCCGAGCTGCCAGATTCCTGTTGCATGTACCATATATCTCTCGAGTGAGTTTCGCTTATGATTACAAATTTCAACTGCGATATACATGGGGAAACCGAGTGTTTGCGACCATAAACATTTCTGGGAATTTGTTTGCTTTGGACGAACTACGTACGTAAAGTACGAGCATGCAGGTTCAGTAACCTATGGAGTGTGCTAACGCTCCAAAGAGAGTTACTCATAGAATTCGTCTATTTTGCCAAGCTGAGCCAAAAAACAATTTCAGATTAATGAACCCAAAAAATGGTTTATAAAAGGAAAAACAAGCGAACAAGTAGTCCGAAAATTGGATATAAATGGCAGCCAAAACTGAATGGGGATATTCCGAGAAGTTGGCCTGACAACAATCAGCGCAGATATTGTTTGTATCTGGAGGAATTTTAATTATCGTCTCGTTGGCTTTACCAAACAGATCTTATCTTATTTGGGTCGGATTTTGTCGGATCTTTTAATCTCGGCTTCCTGTTGTCCCTCGTTTGCTTTACTCTCTCACCTTCATACTTTCGTTTTTGGGTAGAACTTTCGCTGCATCGATACATCGAAACTAAGAAAACATATACCCAAAACGGGAAATATCAACCACATTTCGTTTGAGAAAATAGTTACGATTGCTTTTTCCGTACCTAATGATGCAGAAGTTATAATGACAACATTTATGTCTTTCAATTTGTTTAGCTTTGCAGACGGGATAATAGTTAATATTAACTTGGGTCATATTTAAATTATATCTTTATACATATAACTGAAAATGTTATAATTATATATGCTTTATAATTTCTAATTAAAATAGTAATTATTCATTATTTGAAAAAATCGTCGAGTGATATTATTCTTTTCAGTAATAATGAAATTATATCACATATAAATTGATCATGTAATCTATCACTGATTAGAAATCAAATGACAAGGTGGAACCTGCTTTTTATCTATTTGTTATTTATCGTGCATATAATTTTTATTATTTGGGTTTTGGTACATTTTTTATTTCTTTAGAAAAAAAATAAGAAACTGTTATCATAGGGAATTATATATAGAAACAAAAGAAATTAGAAAGCCTTGCCTTCTAAGGAACTGATCTGTTCCCCAATAACGTATCTATTTGTTAATTGTTTTCCTGTTAAAAATTTCTATTTGCTTTGGAGAGCAGTGCATTTATACTCGTTTAACTGAGCGATTACCTTCGGAAATTCTTTTAAGCTCATATCTGTATCTGACTCTATGTATCTGTATCTCAGGCTGTGTGCGGTAATCGCATATTTGTGTAGATGACTAAACTGCGATAGCTGCATAGTAACTTTTCCCGCACAATGACTGGGGGTTTGAAAAGTGGGAGGTGGTTGTCTGATGCTTGATTGTGAGTTGGCAACGGCAAATGAACTATGAAACGCTGACGAATGCCAACTTCCAGTGCCTTTCTTCTTGGTTCTGCATAGTTCATCATCTTTTTACCTCGAACACAAGTTAAGCTTTATTATAGCCATAAATTTCACTTGAATGCGAAATCTGATGCATCTATGCGATGCTTCCAGTTCGGCTTTGGCTTTAGCTTTGGCTCTGGCTTTAGCTTTTTCTTTTCCGCTGTTTATCTTTGGAGCGGCAACACATGCAAAACCCGACTGGCTCTGTGTGCATAAATACTTGCGAGCACACACATCTGCCTTGGTATTTGCTCGTGTTCGCGTACAATAATTTCACGTTCAACAACTTTTGGCTTTTTTGATGAGCCAGCAACAACAGCAGCAGCAGCAGCAGCAACAGCAACAGCAGCGGCAACAGCAGCAACAGCAACAGCAGCAGCAGCAACAGTAACAGCAGCAGCAGCAGCAACATCAGCAACCCGCACTTGAGAGGTACGTTCGAAGAAGGGGGATTGGGATTGCAGGGCGGGGCGATTACAAAGGGTACTATGGGGCTAACAGCGGGGTTTTACGGGGGCTTACGGGGCATAAGAGTGAACCTCATGTGCGGGCAGTTTGGCTCTTTCTGTTGCCATAGCCACCGTTTGTCATCTCTTTTCAGCGCATTGCAACTCGCAGTTGGCTCGCGAAACTTTAAGCGAAAAATACACGGCTCAAAAATATGGCCAAGTGCTTATCTATATCCTTTGTTGGACATCCTTTAGGAAATGGATATATATCTTTTAATTTCTGACAATATTAGGTGCAGACAATCTTTTAATTAATTTATTTTATTAATATTTATTTTATTTAAGACAAAAAAAGCAATGATTTTAATTGTTTTATTTATATTCACGGAAGTGTATTAAATGAAGTTCATTCTCTCATATTTATTTATCTTTTCTTTAAATATGTAATGAGGGAGAATACAATAATTATAATTCAATAATTATTTTTAATAAAGATTTAATACGTATTTGTGTTAGAAATTGAAGAACTCTATATCTATATAAAGGCAACAATATAATACGTCATAATAAAGCTTATTGTTAATTCAATTTAAGTCTTTCTTTTCATAAGAACCAAGAAACGCTAATCGGCAAATATATAATTCGACACCCCAATATACCCACATATTTATATTTAACTAGTATCAAATGCCTGTTAAATTCAAGTCTACCAAAAATCCAGCATTATATGCTTGCACTTGTGAGATTTTAATTGGTTAAATTAAATGTTGATAGCGATGACGTCAAATGATTATGTGAATTGCTATAGAAATCTGCCTTCTCTGGAATTTGGTGAAAAATTTATAGTTTTTACGTCACAGTTTTATCTTGAGTCAAATACGTCGTTTTGGACCATATGAAAAAAATTAAATGAATTTAATTACATGTTGGAATTTTTCAAAAATCATAAAATTTTGTGTTGGTTTGTTTTTTTTTAGCGATGTCATAAAATTAGAATGAAATATTATGGGATTATTATTCTAATTTTTATTTAATGCTTGATTTGAGGCTCGTTTGTTTACGTTTTATTATCGTGGCTGGAT